ATCCAACTAAGCGGGCTCATCAACTAGAGGAAGCCTTCACCGCTATTTCCAGTCCTTGCAGATACGGCCAAAGAATACCCCCTCTCCCCTACACTCTGAGAACTTGCGCATGTGACTGCAGTTGTTGTGAAATTCCCAACCATAAACCCTAAGCCCTAAACCCTCAGCTCTAAACCCTAAGGCCTAAACCCTAAGCCATGCCCGAAACCCTGAGAACCACACCTGCTCTTGCAAGGGCTTCAGCAACCTCAGCTAGAGAAAGGGTCTCTCAAGATTGGGGCCTTAGGGTCCATTGGTATATATGGGGATGGTAACGGGATGAGAGGGCTCTTTGTTGGGGGATTATACACAAACATGTTTTGAAAAACTCCAAGATTTCATAAATGCTCTGATCACGGTGTGGGTCTGGGGTTTTGCAGGAGTTACTGTGGGGAGTATTGAAACCAGGTCCAAATTTCTATTATTTAGAGCTTCGCACGGTTTACTTGCGGCTTTCCCGGGTATTTATGGCACAGGGGGTCAACAGGGACCCACAGCAGCCTATCAGCGGGTTTAACACTATGGTTGTTCGATTATTGGTTCTTAGCTGTGCAAATGAACATTTGGTGTTCAAGGGTCGCAGACTTTGCATGCTTCATCTAGGGACCTACAGAGCCAGTGGTCTGTGATTCTGCTTGCAGGACCCTGCCAAGAAGACCTTAACATATTCTGGGCTAATGTTAAGCTAGCTGGTGCTTTGGCATGCTGCGAAAAAACTTAGTGAAAAACACCATTTTCTGCAGGCTGTCTCAATAGGCGAAAGAGCTTTGTACAAGCCGCCCGTCTGGCCATGCAAATGCCAATGACGATTGACAATGATTGTTGAAACATCTAACAATAACAATGTCTCATAATCAGTGCAATACTTCCACTTCTCGATGTGTGAGACCTCACATTGCGACAACACATGCTGTCATATGAATGCGAACCAGCAGAAGTCGACGGTGCCACACCTGAGGATTCGGCAACAATCAGAATCATGAACCCTAGCATCTCCATGCTGCATGCCCTGCGCAAAGTTGACCAAGCCTTTTCAAACACTGCGCAGCATGATCCCTCTGTGCCGAACGGCAGTGACAATGTGCTTGCACATGTCTTGGCTGGACATCGCCATCATTGTCATTGAGCTGCGCATTGACATTAAGCTCACGAAAACTCATATCCTAACTCTGCATGACGGAAGTACAGATGATGCTTTGATGTTGCTGAGGGGTGTCACGCCAAGACAATGCTCAACACATGCGCCGTGGCTTCAAACAAACACGGTGAGCGTACGACTGAAGCAACACCTGAATGATTCGTTCATTTCAATGATATCAGGGAACATGTTGAACAAGAACAGTGAACTGTCACTTGGGGTTGCCGCATACTGCTCTCCAAAAACAGGGGCCTCTGTCAAGCAATATGACAATGACCCAAATGCCGGAGCTGGCCTGCCGCAAATGACAGCGGCCTAACCCTCGGCTGGGTCTTCAACAATATGACAGTGACCCAAATGCTCGCAAAATGACAGCGGCCTAACCCTCGGCTGGGTCTTCACTAGTGATCTGCTCCTGCAGGTCCCCAACCCTCTCTCTGAGGTCTTCGATGCGCTGGCGCTTCCTCAAGGGTATCAGACAACTTAGCAAGATGCAAGATGCACATGAGAACAAGCTGGAAGAAGAAATAGAAAGCACGTCTCACACGGTCCTGGCAACCTTGTTGCCTGCACACTTCTCACGCAAGTCGCTGTAGTGGGATTCCGCGACAGAAAGACTGGTTGTCAAGGCCTCTGCTTCAATGATATTCTCAAGAAGCCAGGCCATCAAGATCTCCTCCTTCTCAGTGGCCACATCATAAGGAATCCATGCCATTGCTTGCGTCACGCTGCGCAGGCGAACCGTACTGTTGTAGAACATCTTCTGGGGCACCTTGACCTTCACGACATGGGTGTCACAGTGTCCTTGACTGTGAAAGTACCCCACTGCTGCTGACACGAAGTCGTCAGGGAAGAAGACTAGCGTTGCATGACCTTCTGGCAGGTCTCCGTCATTGATCCTGAAATAGCTTTTCGTGTTCTTGTTGACATAGGTCCAGAGATCAACGAAGTCCTGCATCGAGGACGGTGGCCATGACGGTAGCAACACCTTGGTCACCATCAGCACGTCGAAGGAGCTTGCCACGTCTTCGGCAATTCCAGCAGCAAGTATCGTCTGCGGCTGTGTCTTCTGCTGCGCCTGAAGACTGACATTGACCTTGAAGAGGAACTTGCTGAAAAACTCGCTCTCGATCAACGTCATTCTGGCATGATCTGAGCGGCTTAGTCACCGAGATGCCTCCATCAGCCTTTGCGAAAAGCTTGCCGCTTGCAAAGAGCTCTTGAGCTTGTGCAGTCAAGGCGATCTTCAGCATGCTGCGCTTGGTCTTCAGAATATGAGCTGTCCTTCAGAGTAGCGGTCGCACGCAGATGGCGCTGACAATGACTGCCCATCAGACAGCGTCAGGCCAAGTTTGCGGCCAGCCCCATGCACAGACGCCTTGCCGAAATTGGCCCTAGAAATACAACTCTGATATTGCATTTGCAAGGCACCTAAAATGGAGAAAACAATAGGCATGCTAGAGTAAAGCCGAGGACCAGCATTGCTTTCAGCTCGGTGTCATACAACACCAGGTTCTTTAAGCGCAAGCGGTCTGTGTTGAATTTGTCCGGGGCCACAGCAAAGAGATCCATCTCCGTGAGAGGCTGAGGTAATGACACTAATCTATGATTGCTTGGATCCAGTGACTGCAGCGCAAGAATCATGAGAATGAAAGATGGCAATGTCAGACGTTGGTCAGTTCAGCGCACACGCCATGAGCAACCCCCAGCGCATCAGCAGCTAGGATTTGCATCGCTGGGCCACTGGCCAAGGGACATTGACGCAATTTCTCTGGCGAGCTTGTTGGCCTGAGTTGCGAACTTCATGCGGCTGGAGCTTGGGACAAGACATGCGCAACTGGGGAGCAAAGCGCTATCCGAGGCTGCTGCACTTCTTGCTTGTCACGTAGAAAGAGCAGAGCCGATGCTTCATTACAGGGGGACATCACCTACCTTCTTTTTCTTGATCTTCATTGTCCGCAAGGAGGTGGTCGACTTGCGAGTGGACTTCGTAAGTGACAACGAAGAGCTGCGACTCCGGGCTGTTCTGGGCTTAGATTTTCCTGAGCCTGCTCCTGGTCTGGACTTGGCTTTTGGCACAGACACAGCGACGGTGGGCTGGGATGTTTCTTTAGCTTTTCTCGAAGTCTGCAGCCGGCCAGGCCCGCAGACCCGCTTCGAAGGCTGAATGACATCCTGCGAAAACACATCTTCCAAGTTGCGTTTCCCACGGCTGGCGAAGCGGAGCATGGTTCAAAGTGGCAGACTATTTTGAAGGCTTGTAATGGCTAGTATTCTCTGTCTGCAATAGGAAGGCTTCCAGACATATCACGACAATGAGTATTCATTGGGTGACTTACGGAAACAGCTAACGCTTGACTAGTTGATGTACTTTCTATGGCCAGCGTCAATACCCCAGGAATGCCGGCATGGCATGAGCCCAGTGACTGCCAGGCACCATGGTTTTGCGTGGCACTGGCACAGCTTCAAGCAATAGTTCATGGAGGACCAGGACTGTAAGCCGCAGGAAAAGTCCGAGCCTCCAAGTGAATCCAAGCAATGCTGGGAGGATAAGCCAGGCGAACCGGCCTTGCTACCTCGGAAGTCCGGGCTGAAGCACTGCACTGTGATCAGATCGCGCTGTGCCACGTAGGAAAAGAGAGAGAGAGAGAAAGAGAGAGAGAGAGAGAAAGAAAGAAAGAGGAAGAAAGAAAGAAAGAAAGAACGAGAGAAAGAAAGAGAGAGAGTCTTCGCTTAACCCTGAGATGAGGATCCGGCTGATGGCCATGAAGAAGATGACAATGACAATGAGGTAGGCGGTCGCTCAATGACTCTGACAGTCACATGTTGCGGCAATACCAAGAACCCCAGCACAACCTCCAACCTTCAACAAAACTCGAGAAAGATGAACATTTGATGTTCAAGGGTCGCAGACTTTGCATGCTTCATCTAGGGACCTACAGAGTCAGTGGTCTGTGATTCTGCTTGCAGGACCCTGCCAAGAAGACCTTAACATATTCTGGGTTAATGTTAAGGCTGTTAAGGAACTTAAATTAAGTCACCATGATGGGTATAGATGGTAACTAATAGGGCTTCCCCAACATAGTAGCTTAAATTAGGCTCCTTAACAGCAACCCAGTATTGTGTGGTAGCTGGGGGACTTCACTCAAGATGCCTTTGGCACTGATACAGCACTACAGCACATGTCTGAGACTTCGCAGTAGCCCCACCAAAGTCTACCCCACAACGCCACTGAATCTTGGGCCCCTACATGGCCCTGGAGGGAAGATCTCGGGAGACTTATGCCAGCGTTTCCGAAATCTTTCAGTACTGGCGGAGCCCGAGAAGCATTACCCCTGCCAGATTCAAAGTGTAGCCCTGAAACTGTTTTTCAGGTTTTAGGAGGTAAACCTTTAAGGGTTTAGCCCAGAAGTCATTCCAGACTGAATCTGATACCAACCAGGCTTTCATATAGGCCCCAAGGCTGAAACTATGCAAAATAGAAAACCCTTGAGCGTCAACCCTAGAATCCAGAACTCTACGCCCTGAATGCTGGGTAGGCCTTTGACCCCATAAATCCCCACGAGCCCCTACACCCTCATCTCTATCTTACCTAACAAGAACTACCTAAACTCCAAAGGGCTATGCTCCAGGCTCTTAAACTTGCCTTTGGCTAGCTGGGAATCAAGGAATGAATCCTTATAGTAATCCCTATACAACCCGTTATAGTCGTTTCCATTTTCTTTTCCCTTCCTTCATTCCCAGCTGGCCAAAGGTAAGTAAACCTTAAATGGCAAAGCTGACACCCTACATCCCCCTAAACCCCAAACCTTAAACAAGAAGCACGTTCATCGGACTTCAGGGCGGCCAAGTGCGACTCTCCCATGTCATCCTCCTCACGCCCAGAGTCTGAGGTTTAGGGCTTAGGCTTCTACTAGTAGTTCAAGATCTAAGGCTTGGACTTTGGGTTCTAGGTTTTAAATTTTGTTTTTTTGGCTTGGGCTTAGGGCTCAGCCCATCAGCATCAGCTTTCGGGTAGCTTTGTGGGAATCGTTTTTTCAAAGACATATGGTAGTTTCCCTAAACAAGGGGACCCCAATGTACTAGAATCCTTATGATGGGGACCCCCCAAAATGGTACCCCTAATTTTAGGAAACCCACATATAACTGGTGGGAACATAGCATGTGAGTGGGCCTCCACCCTCTTTAACCTCAAAACCATCCTCTTAAGCCCTCCTTGTCTTGAGGCTTTTCTGATTTGGGGTTTCCCAAAATTAGGGGCAATCTATTTGGCATTGGGGGTCCCCATAATACAGACTATAATTAATACTTTAGGGTCTATTTGGGGGTCCCCTATTTTGGGAAATTACCATTTCTCTATGTACACACTCCAGTAACGCCTCAAGCAGCGCTCTCCAACTTCCGCAGTCAACCCTTGCTCCCCCGCACGGAATGATTGACTCAGTGAAGGTAATGTAAAAGCCTGTAGTAGTGGGAGCCCTTTCCCTATACAATCCTTGCACACGCAGCAGCACAATACACTCCAAAATCCTCAGCCCTCTTCTACCTACTTGAAACAACTATAATTATCAGTATTTCATATTGGGGGGTGCGAGCGGTTCATTGCTAGGGGAGGGGACTACTTGAAACCAGTACATTCGTAGTGCTGCTCGTCCTGCTCCGCCTCCGTCTCCCCTTCCACCTCTTCGGCAATTGCCTCAGTCCCTGCAACGTGCCAGGGAATCGGGAACAGCGCAGGCGGGCAGATATTAAGAAAGTGCCGGAACCTTTAGACTTGGGGAGTTTGGGGATTGGGTTTTTGGAAATTTGTGTTTTGGGTTTGGGCTCGGGGGTTTGGATATTTGGTTTTGGGTTTGGAGGCTTTGGATATTTGAGTCTTGGGTCTAGGGCGTAGAGGACTCTACTTTCGTGACAATATCAAAAACATCTTCTGACAACTGACGTTCAAGCGTCGGTGAAAGAGCGGATTGCTTTAATGATCCCTATTTGGATGTTTACCTACATGTGCTATGGTCTAAACTCCTCGTACACCCCTTAATAACCCCTATCCTACTACCCTATATAATCCTCTATATACCCTCCGTTGAGGAGTGTAGACTATGGCTCAAAGACGGGAAGCAGAGCTCTGCTTTAAGGCTATGAGGTTTCAGGCATGCGGCTTAGATGGGAGGATAACAAGTTGACCTACAAGGGAATATATTATAGGGATTATATACGGTTATGTTCCCTTCTTCCCTACTAAGAGCGAGTAAGTTTAAGGGTGGCCAGGTCAGGTCCTAGGTTTCCGGGATACATCTGGGGAAGGAGGCAAGGCCGCGGCAGCCTTGGCGAACATCCAAACCGGGCGTGCGCATGCAGTATGATAATGAGGGTTTGAGGCAAAGGGCTGCAAAACAATATCCAGAGCGCCTCAGGTTTCGCATGCATGCTACAACCTCTGCGCCACTGCTGGGCACTTCACGTGGCTGTCCTTGGAAGGCAAAGAGAAGGTTGCAGAGTGGTAGCCCTTCTTGTCTGCATCCGCCAGGGCGAGAACTTGGGCATACGACTTGCTTCTCCCGAATGATGTTTCGCACCAAGTCTCACCACGGGCTTGTGGAAGAAACGCGGGAGTTAAAACAAATCATCGAATGGTAGAAAATGTGTCATCTCGACATTCGAAACACCAAAAAAAGAATACTATAGGGACCTAAATCATTCCCGATATCATTTTGAAGTCCATTTGAGGAACCATATACTATAGTTATCTAAGGAATATGGAAAATCTGGAACGCCAACGATCTAGGACAAAAAGACACCAACAAAACTCAAATATGGCCAGACCCCTTTTGAATTCCCATATAACCCCTAAAAGCTCCTTGAGTACCCCCTAACTTTTGGAACTCCCACTGGCATGACTTCCAAATATTAAACCCTAAACCGTAAGCCCTAAAACCTAAACCCTAAAGCCTCTGCCAGCAGCGAGGTTCTGCTGCTGGGCCGCAGCAGCAGCGGCTGCTACCTGGGCATACGCAGTCACCCTTGGGTTTAGGGTTTGGGGTTTAGGTCTCAGGGTTTTGGTTTTAGGGTTTACTTACTGGTTCTAAGTAGGGAGTAAAGGAATGTGTTCCATAATTAAGGGTTATATGCAGGTTATGTTCCCTGATTCCCTACTAAGAGCCAGTAAGCCTGAGGTTTACGGTTTGAGGCACAGTAACCCTGAAATAGCCCAAATAGGCAATATCTACCTGGATCACCGAGGTCAGGGACAAGGTAAGGGCTTTGTCCATTGTGTCCATAAGGGATCCCAGGATGTATGTGCTTAAGGACTATGTGGACTTTGGGGACTTCCCGCTCGATTTCGCAGTGCTAAAGATGAGTCGGATGCAGATTCCAAGTTTGCACTTGCAAGAAGTATTGCCAAGACTAGGTTTTCGGAAGCCCAAGCAAAGAACGCAAGCATGTCGTTGGCAAAATCCGTTTGCTGCTCCACCCTCATTTACAAGAAGCTTCCAGTCAAAGGCCCAGCATAAACAATCTCCAAAAAATGCGCCGTGATGCCTGGGGCCAGACTCTGACACTAGAGGTAGCAAGGGATGCACCAGTGCGAATCCTATGGTTCTTACCTGAGCAGTGCTGAATCTTGAGTACAGCGAGGTCTCCCGCTGCTGTGAGATGGAAGCATGCCGTTTTGTTGCGGACTTGTTCCCCTAATTTCGCACGCCCCCCTCCAATGAGGATGCCACAATAACCGAAGCAAACTGAAAGCCTCGGAATAAGTCTTTAAAACATGTATCTAGCATAGCCCAAACCCATGCCCCGTAACCGTAAAGGGGACCAAAACGAGAATACAAAGAACATTTGGCATACCCATTAACTTCTTGCGGAGGTATGCCCCTGGAGTACGTTGTCTTGTTGTAGATTCTTGCTGCATGATAACACCCCAAACTGCGAACACCAAGACCCTATCCGGCCTCAAGACCTAGACTGAACAAGCTGAACCTCAAGTCTCACAGCCTTCACAGGCAATCTGGGGCCTTAACTCGCTAATTAGGATAGGTTTCCCAAACCCTAAACCCTACTAAGCAGTTCAACCTGATGAACGTGCTCACTTTGCCAATGCCAAGGAATCCTGAAGCTGACAGCTGCCCCACCTTCAGGGAAAACCATTGCGCCTAGGTCAAATTGGGGTTATGTAGGGGTTATATAGGGATAATGGAAAAGAAAATGGAAAGTACTATTTAGGGCTTAGGGTTTTAGGATTTTTGCTTTGGACCGAACCCTAAACCCTAAACCCTAATGGACCAACAAATAGCAATGCTCATTCAAGCTGCTCGATCATCGGAAGCCTTTTCTGCCAGACGGCGCGTGTTCTGCTCCTCACACATACATGTCTGAAAACAGACACGCGAAGGTATGCCTCAAATATGGAGCTTCATAACGCATGACCCTCAAGAAACTCCACTCCCTGCTTTTGAAGAGAACTCCGGTGTTTAACTCAACATAGCTTTCACAGTCCGCAGACCGAGAACTCTTCTTGCTCAACCATGTCATCATGGACTGTCCAACTGAGTAACGCTTTTTGGTGGTTGAACCGAATAAGATTACATTCCTTATGCAAATACTATACCCACAAGGAGGATATAATCTTACTCTATATTGAGCGCCATGTTCTCCCCACAGTAAAGTACTACTCAACTGGAGCCATCTCAAAGAAGTTGGAAGTGCGGGATGCCGAATGCGAAGTGACTCCCAGGGGCGTCTCATTCAGCCAACCCCGCAACTATAGGGACCTATGTCAGTGAAACTGGAACCTGTCCATGATTCCATACCAATTCTACAGAGATAACATTCCGGAACCTAGACCCTAAGTTGAGGGTTCATGGGTTGCACAGGGATCAGGATGGCTCAGGTGCAGGTATTGCCACAAACTAGGGCTCTTACATCTGGAGTCCATATTTGGGGCCCCTTCAGAACATCACTATAACAAGGAATAATTTGCTTTGGAGTCTGTATTTTGGGCGCCTATGCTTGGAATCTACCAGACATCTCCATCTTTGAAGGCTTCCCCTCGCAGCGTCCTCTCTGGCCCGTAGCGCCTGGAGGCAGGCAAGGAATTTGTGCTTAGTCAAGTTAGCAGGTTTCAGAGGTTTAGGGCTTAGGGTTTGGGGTGTGCAAAATAGGGGTACCAGATACTTAGGGACCCCTGGGTTATGTATGGGAATTGCGAGGCCTTGTTGATTTTAGATCTACCGAGAAAGATTCTTGATCTGTGAGCCTTCACAAAAGGCAGGCCCTCAGGCTAGAAATGAATTACAAAGAGGATATATGGGTCCTTGTCCAGGATGATATCGGAAACTCTCGAAACTACCACTTCTAGCAACTTCTGCTTGAAGTCCAATGAACTAGTCGTGTTCTGTCTGTAAACCCTAACACCCAAACCCAAAATGATAAGCCCAATCCATCTTGGCTCCCCCTTGCCTTGTACCTTTGCTCAAGTTTCCGTTGGTCCCTAAGCAATAAACCCTAAAAGCTGGGAAGACAGAGATCAAGGCAAGAATCCACTACGAGCGCAACAGCCTGGCAAGCAGCTAAGAAACAAGGACATGTTCCAACGCCATCTGCTGCCGTATAGGGATGGTACAGTGATCATACAGGGTTGATGTAGGGTTATATCGGGAATATGTAGGGGATATTTAAGGATTCAATCGGGATTATATGGTGATACTAGTTCCCTGTTCTAGCTCGCAACTTATCCACCTCATCTGGATGCAAGGCGTCGAACCATGAGCCACCAAGCTGTAACCTAAAGTCCTCCACCGCAAAAAGCCGAAAAGCCGAACACCTTCAACCCCCCAAACTCAAAAGCTCTAATAGTCTCAACCCCAAACTGCAGAGCCCCGCAAAACCTTCCAGCCTCGACTTCTTTGTCAGCCGCTTTGGCGGCTGCTTCGAGACTTGGTATGTCCACCCTGATGCAGCCAAGCAAAAGGGATATAGAGTGTAGGGTTTAAGGTTTGGGAGCCGTGGGATTCAGGGTTTAGAGCCTAGGGCTCTAGGTGGGTGAACAATATTGGACCAGGGGTTTTGGGTATATGTAGTTTTGAAGCATGTGCTTCCACAAAGGGGCAATCATGCCCGCTAACTATGAACAGCATTTCGGCTTCCAGGCTCACCGCTCCTTACAACATGAATATATTCAGGGACAACTTTCTTGGTTAAGGTCCCTGTAGTACTTTGCACTGAAGGGTTGGGGGCGTGGCCTAAGTAAGGATGTTTGGAGTTCGTGCATTGAAGTCTTTAGACCTGAGAAAAACTGTGAGCCTTCTATGAAGGAAACCGCCCGGTACTGAAGCTTCCGGGGTCAGGGGAAACCGTGCTCCAAACATCCCGAGATCGTGCTACTGCAGATACCCATTCAATCGGAAGCTAAGCCCGAAACCATAAACCCGAACCCCCCCAAAAAAGTGAACCCTGAACCCATGGCACAACCCTGAAGAAAAAAGACGATGCAGGCGAGCCCTGGCAGATCAAACTCGCATTTTTGGTGGCTTTGGACTTTGAGCAAAGCTCACGGCATAAAGCCGGTGAATCCTATTGATTACATCTCTTTTTTTTGTTGTTGTTGTTTTCTTTCTTTCGCGAGCGCTCTATCGCACTATCAGCAGTCTTTGTTTGCTAGCTTAATGTTATATTAACACGTCGTGAAACATGAAACAAGCCGCACTATTGATGACCATATAATCTTTGAACCACTCCTCCGGCGAATACGAAACATGCCCTGTGCATACATGCCGGTGCATGTATGCTGGGTGCAGGGCGGGAGTGTTCTACGTGAGAAGGCCATCTTCACATTTAGGGAAGTTCTCCTTTTGAATGGGGAGCCCCTCACACATTCCCGACTTCAAGTTTAGGGTTTAGGGTTTGGGGCCTTGAAACAAGGAAGAAACTCTTGAAGGGCTGGGGCCGGACTTGCATCATGCAAAGGGACGCATCCCTGTGATGATCCCCATGATACCCCTAGTAACCCATCCCTTCATTCCCTACCATCCATGGGGAAGGGGGGGTCGAGTCCTGCGGAAGACAGGCGAAGGTCTTGCCGGCTTAGGGCTTAGGGTGTATCTTGATACCTCACCCCAAGGTTTCAAGTACGCACATATTTGGGGCTTTAGGCACCCTAAATTGAAAACTTGCTTTTCTAAAATAGTGGTTTCCATTTCTTTTCCACTATCCCAATATTATACCCCGCCCTGTAACCCTAATATTACCGGAATGGGTACCAACACCCTTGGGGTAAAAGCTGGAGCTCCGAAATTTTCATCTGGGGGGTAAGGGTTACATAGGGGGTATATCGGGGATATATGGGGATAATGGAAAAGAAAATAAAAACTATAGGGGTTATATGCGAGTTATACGCCTAAGCTGCACCCCAGACCCCACATCGTCAGCTCCGATCGTTCAATTTTGAAGCAGAATGCCTTGTGCAGAAGACTTGCTCATCCTTCTTGTAGCCAGCCTCGCCACAAAACATAAAGTTAGATTAAGCCTTTATGATAGGGTTTGGGTCTCATTCGGAGGTCTCCTTTGTGCGACCTTGCGCATTAACTGCAGATTTTCCAGCCATGTGTTGGTGGATGAGAGGTACACGTGCAGATAGGATGATGCAGTAACAGGTTCCAGAATAACCCACTGCCCAGGAAACGATTCAAACCTATTCACAGACTTCAAAACCATCGAAAGGGCTTCTTGCATGATTCTTTTATGAAGTCCAGCCTGATAAGTTTTAGTACTTCTTACGGTAAATTCCTCAGGGATGCGCCGCAGCACAGATCCCCTCGGCCTCAATGCCCTCCTGGCTTCTGTTGTTAACCATGAGTTTTGGGTCACCCCAGGCCGATCAAATAAGGATGTGATTAGTATGAGCAAGCTGTTTTTTGTTGCAAAATGCCCAGAAACCCCTTATCTCTATCTGCTACAATGCATATGTTGAGAACCCTAGGTTCAGAATACACTAACGCGACAAGGCAGCTCTTGACGTTTTACTTGTAATTAGCCCAGGGAAGGTGCTGGGACTAATCTCTAGATTTTGAACCGTTAGGGTTTGAGGGTTTAGGATATTAGGGCTCAGGGTTTCTGGACCTCAAAGCCGTTGTTCTTGATCCATGCCCCGCAAAAACCTTGCTCAACCCTGAACCCTGAACCCTAGACCCAAAATGGCTCCAAAGACTCGATTTCGAGGGCTACGGCTACAGGAGAAATCAGCATCTGCCTGCTTCCCGCAGAAGACCTGACAGCAAGC